TGTGGGGATGGAGATGTTTGGAGGGGTCTTGTGTGCCCTACCTGTTTCTTTACGTTATCAATTTCTGAGTGGAGCCGCTGGACCATGCGATTCATCTCCGAGATCTCCATCTTGGTGTTCTGGAGGTCGTGCCCATGCCGGCCAGCTGTGAGCTGCAGCTCCTCGTACTGGGATGAGCAGGGAGAGGAGACACCAGGGCAGAGTCAGGCCTGGGCTGGAGCTGGAACTCACTGGTAGACATTGTCCCTGCTCTGATCCTCTCCTGACCAGGGCTTTTGTCTCTTTCTGTACTCAATCGAACTCTTCCTTATGACTTTAGCCTGTGTCCTTCTTCCTCCTCTCTCCTTGTGCTCCTCCCTCTCTCATTGTCACAATGGCATTTCCACGTGTCCAAGAAACCAAATGAAATCCTGTCCAAATTGACTTGATTTTACACCCTACTGCCCTGACCTCTCTGTTTGCACTCTCCACTATACGATAGCCTTTGGGAAATGATAAACAACAATTTTCCTGGCTCACCGGGTTAATTTTCACATCCTCACCTTGCTCTGGTACCAGGACTCAGCCTCTGCCCGGCTCCGGTTGGCGATGTCCTCGTACTGTGCTTTGACCTCGGCGATGATGCTGCGCATGTCCAGGCTGCGGTTGTTGTCCATGGAGAGGACCACGGAGGTGTCGGAGATCTGGGACTGCATCTGGGACAGCTCCTGTAAGTCAAACCAACCCGTTCTCAGTCCCAAACCTTTCACTGTTGTGCTTGTCCCGGGGATGGTGTGCGGTGGAAGGGTGGGAATGGGAACTGGTTCGGTCCTGGTGGCACCAGGAAAATGGAGAAAAAGCCAAACTAGTAAATTTGGGGGATTCTTACTGCTTCGTAGAGGGCTCGCAGGAAGTTAATCTCATCTGTCAGTGCTTCCACCTTGGCCCCCAGGTCCACCTTGGTTATGTAGGCAACATCTGCATCCTGGAACCATGACAACAGAGATAGTGAACCAAACCTTGCCTCTCCGCATCCTTGTACAAAGACCAGTTGTCATTTAATACAAACTACAACTGAGGACTTTCTTGACCTCTGTGCCTTTAAACAGAGCCAAGAGTGAACCGGTTTCTTCCCTCCACCTGTTTTTTGGAGGAGGGAAGGATGATGTCCGTAGATCTAAGCAATTTTTGACATGTTAAAAGCCACTGAATGTCCCTTCTTTTGCTAGCGCGCAGGCAGATATTTGGGATGACGCTTGAACTAGTGGAAGTTTCTCCTTGTGTCTCCTGCAGTTGGGACCAGGGGAGCTGTGGAGGGTGGGAATGGGTACAGAAAGGCTGCAGAAGTGGCAGAGCATCCAGAGGAGTGACTACAAGGTATGGATGACCCAGATCTGATCTGGTACCTGGGGGGACTCACCTGAATTTTGGACAAGGGGCTTAAAACAAGGACAAGCTATTGCCAGGGCCTGACACACTGGCACAACTGGGCGTTTGTGCTTCAAGGAGGGATGACTACACCTTTGCTAAGTGCTTTGCCCAGGTTGGCACCGCAGGATAAAAGGGTTATTTGCATTCAAATGTGTTTTGCCTTGAAAAAGCGTGTCCCTGCTTTGTTGTTGGTGCCTCACCTTCTTCAGCATCACGAAGTCATTCTCGGCAGTCGTGCGCTTGTTGATCTCCTCTTCATACCTGTTGGGAAGAGGAGATGAACATCCCCCTGCAGCATCCTTGCTGCAACCCACCCCTCCACCATGAGCATGTGGATATCCCTTCTCCACATGGGGGGCTTGGGCAGAGACCAAAAAGTCGGTTCCCACCATAGATGTTGGTCTAGATGACCTTCAAAGGTCCCTTCTAACCCAAACCATCCTAGGGACATGGGGGATAGAGGGATATGGGGACACAGGGATTTAGGTATGTGGGACATGGGGGACAGGGGGGTGCAGGAACATGGGGGATATAGGGATATGGGGACATGGGGACGTGGGGACACGGGGGGATTTAGGGATATGGGGACACACGGGGGAGCAGGGACACGGGGGACGTGGGGACAGAGGGATGGAGGGACACCTCCCCCCCACCCCAGGAGGGGACACAGCCAGGGGGGTGTCACCACACACCCACCCCCCATGCCTCAAGGGGCCAGGAGATTCCAGAGAGGCCCAGAAGGTCCCCAAGGGGGTCTCAATGTCCCAAAGGGGCTCAGGAGGTCCCCAAAGGGACCAGGAGCTCCCAAGGGGCTCAGGAGGTCCCCAAGGGGGTCTCGATGTCCCCAAGAGAGCTCAGGATGTATCCAAAGGGGCCAGGAGGTCCCAAGGGGGTTCAGGAGGTCCCAGAGGGGCTCAGGAGGTCCCCAGAGGGTTCAGGAGGTCCCAGGGGGGCTCAGGAGGTCCCCAGAGGGTCCAGGAGGTCCCCAGAAGGGCTCAGGAGGTCTCTCGGGGGGGTCCCAGCCCTCTCCTCCCCCCAGCCCAGCCCCACCTTGTCGATGAAGGAAGCAAACTTGTTGTTGAGCGGCTTG